AAACTGATTTATTATATGTAACAGTCCAAAAATGGCTGGGTCGTCTAGGACACAAAGGCAGCTTTCTCCACATTTTGGCCACAATATGTCCTTCGCGTACACTGTGTTGAAAAGCTTCAAGCAATGAACCATTTCCCCATTGAGGGGGAAGCCTTGGTGCTTTGCAAAGCTTCCTTCACCATCACTACTAGTCATGCCAAAGTATTTAAATATAAAAAAGTAGTTTTTTTTTCAACTAAAGGCCATTGCTACAAATACTATTGTTGTTATCGCTATCTGGAGCTGTCAACCAATTTGTTTTCATATTTACAGTTAGTGCAAAATGCAGCATCACTTTTAATGAACTTAATCGTCCTTGCTGAAAATGCTCTATGATAGTTTATATCCATGAGTATGAAACAATATAGTGATCAGCAGCGGTCACCACTAATATCTGCAGTAACTACAGTGTTTTGGCGGAAAGAGATAACATGTTATTTATTAACTTTTGCGTTTTGTGATTCGGAGCGCTTGTCTTTTCTGCGCATGCGCGTTGCGAGCTGTAGCGACTTCCTGCCAAATAGTTGTCCCTAACAACACACGGCGCCCCACCGAGGGAATTTCAGTTCAAGGAAACATAAAGTTTCCTCGGAAGTAGCACTTGGTGACATGGTAAGAGGTTCTTTCCCTTTTGTGCGCCGTGCAGTGTGCGTTTGAGCGCTTTAATGAGCGGTTCAGTGTGAAATGGTAAGGTCAGTGAGCCGCGAGCTAAATAACACACGGTGGCTAACTGGTCAAACTGTGCTAAACGCTACATTAACAACGCTAACGTTACCACTTGAAAACAGCTTATGTTGTGCCCTCTTATATTATGTAACCTCAGCCGTGAGCTGCGTGTTTCCAAAAGAGGAACACGTTTAATGTGTAGTATCTTGGTCGTCTTCGGTGAACTAGCCACCGTTTTGCAGAGAAACGCTGTCTGTGTCTCAAACACTATTGAGAGTCCTACCTAGGCTGCACTTTTCGGCGTCATAGGAGCAAGACGTTGTTTTTGTAACGAAATACTAGAAAAATAGAGCATGAAATCCGATGTGGGGTCCTCTCCTTCATTGGTCATCCGTTTTTAAGTAACCAGCCTCTGCCATTGAGAGCCTCCTGCTGTTGTGTTGGGTTAATGCTGTATACTGCCTGTAACGTTACACTTTTATGCGAACACATCCACCAACTTCTAGCTGAGCTGACCTGTATATGTTTATATCTGACATAAATGTTTATAAAGCTTTAATTTATGTATGACTTCAGTCTGTGTGCATTGAATTTATTTAATACACGAGTTTCACAATTTGAGTTGAATTACTGAAATAAATGAACTTTTCCACGACATTCTAATTTATTGAGATGCACCTGTATACTAAAACATTTAGTTTTGTCACAGAAATCTAAATGCAGATGTGTGTGCAGAAGGATGCTTTACATTGATCAAAAATAACAGTTGAAGACAGTTGCAGAAAAGAAAAGTTCTGTTTGAAATAATGTTGTTCTTTTGAACTTTGTATTCAAAGGATCCTGTCAGGGTTTTTTCAACATTGATAATCAGAAATGTTTCTTGAGAAACCAATCTGGAGGACCATGTGACACTGGAGTAATGATGCTGAAAATTCAGCTTTTAGGCATTTTAAGTTATTACAATATTTCACAATATTACTGTATTTTACTGTATTTTTGATCAAATAAATGCAGCCTTTCAAAAACATTAGAAAAAAGTAATTACCTCCACTCTTTTAAACGATTTTTGTTGAATTGTAATCCAATCATACACTTCATACAATCTTACATGTTTGTAATGATTGAACTAGTGTTATATGAATTGGTTACATTTCATTTATATGCGTACATAATGGTTTATCTGAGCATTGACTTTGCTTGCAGGTGTTTGTATGAAAATTAGGAGCCTGAAGCCAACAATAAATGTCCATGTTAATGGAGTCCCATTTTTAATAAAGCAAATATTATTAGTACTATTCTTTTTTTAAGTAGAGCTTTATAACTTAAAATTAAAAGGAAAATATGCAACTAACTTTGTAAAACATCATAGATCTCAGACATTTTCATATTGTTTTTAAATGTCAGTTATTCTGACTTTAGACAAGATGCTCAGAAAACCTAAACCTGCACCAGCTGTACAACTTAAATGTACCATGGTGGGAGTAGTTTTGCTGTCTAGCTTAATCCAGGTTCATCTGGGGTCTAACCTAGTTCATCGGAGTTCAAACACAGTTAGCGTGGGTTCACGGGAAGGCTGATGTAGCTAAAATTATCTTGATACTTTGATGTTCAGTGTATTTTTCTGTTTCAGGGGTCTCCAACCCTGCTCCTGATGTCATGTACATGTATATCACGTGTTCGCGTAGTGTTTCTTTACAAAGTGATATTGCCAACTACTGACCTGGCAAAGTGTTTTAAGTCGTTTTTGCGGATCTATGTGAACCGGTTGTGTAAACCTTAGTGAAGTATGTTTTTAAGACTTTAATGAAATTAACAGAATAAAAAAAATTATATTTAAAAGTTTTCTTCCATTTGCACCAACATAACAGCATTCATTTAAAAAAAAATTTATAATGAAAAACAAATAAAATTGTATGAATCGGTTCAATGAAATTCATAGTTTGAACCTTGAACCCAAATTATTTAATCTTACCAACTCAGTTTTTGCTACCAAAGTGTAAATTAGAGAGATGCTCTCATATTCGCTAGTCACGAGACAAGGAGAAATCATGTAAATATTCAAGCTCTGATCTTAAATTATTTACTCACCCTTATGCCATTCCAAACCTGTATTTGTTTCCCCTGAAGAAGATCAAATACAATATTTTGAGAAATGTCTCAGTCAGTGATCTCCAATGTTCTTTTGGACATTGATTTTCATTGTACGAATAAAAAAATATATATATTTTTTTGTTAGTCATGAGTAGGCCTGGGCGATAACACCTTCGATATCAATAGAAAAAATGTTCGATATAGTGCACGACATAGGCATGTGCTATGAGTGACGCAGACAGCACACACAAACACGGACACATGCTGAAATGAGTGATGTGCCTGCCTGTGATGAGGAGATTGTGAGTAAAGAATATTAGTCAAATTTAAAATAAACATTTGCATTTGAATGTTAGGAGTGCGTCAGGGAGCGTCATCAGTGGCATGCGAGATGCGGTGATGACGATGTACGTGACGTTGTTGCATTTTAATGTTTTGTTAGTCTAGCCCACGAGACGCGCCGCTGCTGCGTTATTCATTCAAAATATTAGAGAAATATAGAAGCTCAATTCGGAGAAGATCTTGATTAGGTTAAAAACTAAACCAAGCCATTCACACAGAACACATATTCAGCGCTTTTTTAGACGGACAAATATGACTGCTGCACTCGCGTCTGAGAGATCAAGAGATGTATAGAAAGCCATGCAAAGTTAAAACAGTTTAAAATGTTTGAAAACACATCACGAATTTGTGGAGGTTTATTCCTTTTCACTGCGTTTCGTATGTTTTTAAATGCAGTCTGTGTGAATGGCGCTTCGGCTCTTTGGATTAAGCAATGCATAAATACATGATGCTGTTTTGTTCATAATTGTTTATGCAATTTACGAAATTATATTAGATTTTTATCAGTTAATTTAGACGTAGTGCATGTTTTTATAGAGATACTTCCTTGCGTTGACAATTTACATGCGCTGTATTATTTTGCTCATTGCGCCCTCGGGAGACAGTTAGACCTATACAATAAAGACCTATTTAATCTGCATATAAAACATTTATAAATTCAATATTTGTTACATTTTTATTGTGTTTGATTGTTAAAACAAAATATTTGTTGTTTGTCTCAATAAATTGTGTTAATTATAAATACAGTGGTTAAATTGAAAAAAAAATTCTATTGCTTTTTGTTTTAAAAAAGGTAAAAAAAAAGTCAATAATTATCGATACCAAACGATATGAAACATTATATCATTGATACATTTTTTAGCTATATCGCCCAGCCCTAGTCATGAGCAAGTTTAGAGTGACAAGACGGTAAATAAATGATGACAGAATTTTCATCTTTGGTTGAATTAAGCTTTTAAAGATGGTCTATGTACATTGACTGAAATTAATTGTTTTAATCTTCGGTTCACTTGTGTTTTCCACACATTAAAGTTGTTTTTAATATCCAGATCACGTTCCTGAGACATCGAGCTAGATGTTGCATAAGCATCGCTCAGGGCTACACGTGATTTACTAAACATTGTAGTCTCACATTTACATGAATGAAGCTTTAACAAGCGTCTGCAAAATTGGCTTAAGTGTAAGTGAGCATCTGACCCACTTTCTCTCCTTCCTGCTTGATATTCCAATTATATAAATGCAGTTTAAAGAAGGCACGGGGTGAATAAAATTAGGTTAGATCTTATCCTTGCCCACCCTTTGGATGTGGCAGCTTGCGCAGAAACACCTAATGCCTTTGATATAATCAGGAAAGAATACAAGCTTCCTAGTTTTCACCAAATGTAGGTTAGTATACATGTAAGGAGACACGGCCATATAATCCAGGCATGTGCGCTGGAAAGTGGGAGGGTTCGGAGGAAACATCTGGTGCTTTTGTGGGGGAGCCTCACGTGCCTCACCTGCCGGGCTGAGCTCACCTGCCACCAGGGTGACTGTGGGATTAGGGCCCGCAAGACCCAGTTTTTCCCTTGATTTTCCCATAATGCTCAGCTCCTCAATGGCACACGCACACACCTGACAAGGATCAGCCCCAGTGAGATGGAGAGGCAGGGGCTGGAGGAGCATATATAAAGATGTTTCACGGTGTTGACTTGTCTTTCACGCAGGGCCTTGGCCAAAGCAGAAGCAGCGGAAACTGCAGAGACTGACGGTGCAGATTTACCAGGGTGGACGGTGAAGACGTCCTCTCCCACAGCCATGGACGAATCGCAAGAGGTGCCCGAGCTACCTGTGAGTACAGTGCACTTACTGACCAGTCAGGAATGAAGAAACATTCATGTGTAGTTGACAACTTCTTCGCTTTTGAGATGTTCATTTAAAAAAGGAAAAGTGTTATGTTTTCGGTGCTGTAACTGGACACTATTTCTTTTCATAATTTAAATCACTTTTTAATCACCCTGATTACTTTTATAGCATGCCACTCTGAAGGACGCTGCAGTCACTGCTTGAAATGTTACACATTATTGTGTTAAATGCCTACTGTTAATCATTCAACACACAGTGAGATGGAGAGGCAGGGGCTGGAGGAGCATATATAAAGATGTCTCACGGTGTTGACTTGTCTTTCACGCAGGGCCTTGGCCAAAGCAGAAGCAGCGGAAATAAGTACTAAAAGTTGTTTACTATTAACGGGTTAGTATCTTTTAAAATGCAGTCGATCATGGGTTTATTAATCATAAAACCTGCACTCAATGTAGTCTGGCAGTAGTCTAGTCTCCCCTGTTTGCTTGCTTAATACACATTCCTGGTCTTATTGTGTATTTGCATAATGCATTATTGAATGTTGTTTCAATACATATGGTTTGGATTTTAACGTTTTTATTATATATAATAATTATATTTATAATGAAAAAGAAAAGATTCTCAAATTTCAGCCAGTTCTTTTTCATCTCAACCAGTAGGTAGTTGGTTGTATGGCAAATAGAAAGGACAGCTTAAAACTGCCAGATTGCTTTTTTGAACAAACAATGAACATGATTTAAACTTCTTAATCTTAATTTGTTTTACTCCAGGAGTTTTCAAGTTACAACTCTCTTGGTCAGAGTCAGTTCTCGCAGTACTACGTTCCCCCTCCCAGTTACCTGTCTGCTGGGTTGCCCAGCAGTGATAGAGATGGAACTGGTGTAGTGGCACCTGGATATCCAGCCATTAAAACTGAAGGCAGTGCCTCAGCAAACCTGCCCGACACAACAGGTGTGTTATCATTATCCCTCTGTAACTTCACAATAAACCTAGAACTTTGTAAATACAAGTACTAGCAGTTCTCCCCACCTTCTGTAAATGGCTAAAAATTGTCTTTTTCACAACTAAAATTAGAATTAGAATGTTGTTCCTGTGGCTCAGTGGTAGAGCATTGCATTAGCAGCGCAAACGGTCGTGGGTTCAATTCCCAGGGAACACACATACTGGTAAAAAATGTATAGCCTGAATGCACTATAAGTCGCTTTGGATAAAAGCGTCTGCTAAATGCATAAATTAAAGTTAATTAATTGATTAAATAAATCAGAATCAGAATGAGCTTTATTGCCAGGTATGTTTACACATACGAGGAATTTGTTTTCGTGACAGAAGCTTCCACAGTGTAACAGAATGACAGTGACAGAACAAAAAACACAGATAATAAAAATAAAAATAGAACAAGTAAATAAGGAATAAAAATATATAAATTGACAATTGTGTGTGCAGGTATATTACAATAGACAGTTTTTTTTTTGTATGTACAGGTACTGTATATTATGTGCAAATTTGAGGTGTAGGCTGAGTATGAGTGTTAGATAAATAAGTGTATGAGTGAATAAATAGTGTGTGTTCCACGGTTATTGTCAAGTGTTCATGAGATGGATGGCCTGAGGGAAGAAACTGTTCCTGTGTCTGGTCGTTCTGGTGCTCAGTGCTCTGTAGCGTCGACCAGATGGCAACAGTTCAAAGAGGGAGTGTGCTGAATGTGAGGGGTCCAGAGTGATTCTGCCAGCCCTTTTGCTCACTCTGGACGAGTACAGTTCTTGGAGAGAAGGGAGGATTGTACCAATGATTCGCTCAGCAGTCCGGACTACCCTCTGAAGTCTTCTGAGGTCAGACTTGGTAGCTGAGCTGAACCAGACAGTTATAGAAGTGCAGAGGACAGATTCAAT